CTAAGGCAAGCCTGATCTCCTCAGATCTCAGAAGCTAAGCAGGATTGGCCCGGTTAGTATTTGGATGGGAGACCACCACAGAAATCCAGGGTTGCTATGCAGAGGCAGGCAATGGCAAACCACCTCTGAATGTCTCTTGCCTTGGAAACCCTATGGGGAGGGGCTGTGGCTCACTAGCAGGGCATCTGCTTGGCATGCAGAAGGTCTCAGGTTTAGTCACTGATAACTGTCAGACACGGGCATAAAGGGGAGTTTATTGCTGATGTATCACTAATGCCAGTTTCGCTTTTGTAACCTTGCTTACTCGGAACATCTGCCTTCTGTCTTCTTCGTTTGCTATCTTATGCCCTCTCTGACATGGGATTCCGTAGGAGGGGGGGGAGAGAGTGTGAAAGAACGATTGTTGTAGTTTGGGGCTGCGCCATGATTGTAACACTTCTTGAAGCAACAGCCCCTAAGGAGCAACTGGGATTTCTCACGGGAGTGACCTTGGGCAAAGATAAGACTTTGGGAATGGCTAGTCCGTCATGTAACTATCAGAACCGTTAGTGGGCTGGTGTGTATGACGTATGCATGGAATGTAAGCACTCACCTTTACTTTCCATCTCCCGCCCTGGACTCGCCAGTCCTAACAAAGGGCATTCATCTCTACAATTAACCAGATCTTTCCAATAAACCTTTTAAGCGATATTGGCTGAAGAGTGGTTTTACTGGGAGCCTGACAGCAACTCCAATTAAAAGGATCAGGGGGTAGGAAAGGATGTGAAAGACCCCTGCCTGAGACCCTGGAGAGCCACTGCCAGTCTGCATAGGCAACACTGACTTAATTGGACCAATGGTCTGATTCAGTAGAAGGCAGCTTCATATGTTCATGTCTGTTCATAAGTTGGCTCCAGCTTGATGGCAAAATAAAGGGGGTAGATGGGAAAACACTTGTAAGCCTTGTGAGATAGATGAGGGGGGTATAAATGTAATAAATAAATAAATAAATATTGGTGCTGCAGGCCCAAAGAATGGCGTGAGATGACATTTTTTAATTAAAACATACCTTTGTATTCTTTTCAGTTTATAAACCTGTAATAAAAATTAAAAATGTAGTAAAGCCTTATTTTAAAAAACAAACATAGCAAATCCTAGTTCCTCTGTTCGTACAGGAAAATTTCCCATACATTTCAGAAAATTAATAATGTTTAATGCTTCTCACTGTGATGTTTTATTTTCAGGTGGGGTTCATGAATGATGGAAAAATCAAAGCTGTTGACCTTGAGTACTATGTAAACGCTGGGTGTACACAAGACGAATCTGTATGGGTAAGTATCTCACAAAGTAGTAGGACATTTGCAAATGGGAAAACGGGATGAAACGTGTTTGGCTCTGCCTTGCGAGGGAGGGGGCATTTCTCGGCTGGTACTCATTGGAGCAGGGACTTGTCTTGAGTCCTTTTGGTGTAGAAGCACACCTGTGTCCTAGCCCTGGTCTCAATGACAAACCTACCACTTTTCAGGTTGCAGATCAGATATCTCTGGTGAGTACTTGACACGTTGGTAGTTGCAAATGTTAATATGAATTTAATATGTTGTCGAAGGCTTTCACGGCCGGAGTTCGTTAGTTGCTGTAGATTTTCCGGGTTGTGTGGCTGTGGTCTTGGCATTGTAGAACCTGACGTTTCACCAGTAGCTGTGACTGGCATCCTCAGAGGTATAACACAGAAAAATGGAGTACTCTCTATGTCAACTTTGGCAAAACAACCCTGGGATTCCTAGGTGGTCCCCAACCAAATATTAATCAGGGCCTACCCTTCTTAGTATTCAAGATCTGACAAGATCAGGCAAGCCTGGGCTATCCAGGTCAGGGCCACTCCACAGTTTTTGTTGTTGTTGTTCAGTCACACAGTCGAGTCCGACCCTCCGTGACCCCATGGACCACATCATGCCAGGCCCTCCTGTCTTCCATCGTCCTCCATAGTTTGCTTAATTTCATGTTCATTGCATCGATAACACTGTCTAACCATCTCCACAATAACAGAACCTGAAAATAACCATTCCACAGTACCAGTTCTTCAAGTTATTTTTAGCTTCCTTTCAAGCCTCAAGATAGACCTGCAAAACTTTAGCACTTTCAGCCAGGGGTCATTTCGTAGAAAAAGAGCTAGGGGAACTCATTAGCATAACTCATTAGCATATGCCACACCCCCTGACATCACCGGAAGTGTGTCATAAGGCCACACACCCCTGACATCACTGGAAGTGTGTCATAAGGCCACACCCACCACTCAGTCTTAGTCTTAAAGGTTAGTCTTAAAGGTGCTATTTGTTAGTCTTAAAGGTGCGGGAGTGTGAGGAAGCCCCACGAAGGCTCCCCGACCTGCAACGGTCCCGGCCGCCGCCGGCCTTGTGGTTCCACTGCCGAGCCCCATGAGGGGTCCAGCGGTGGACCAGCAAGGCCGGCGGGAGGACAAGGAAGCCCCACCAAGGCCCTCCCTGGCCCCAGGCAGACAGGGGTGGGGAGAGGCGGGGAGGAAGCAACTTACCCTCCCTCTTCTCCTGCCTCCTCCTGGCTGAATGAGGGCTGGAAGTGGGGCGGCTGGAAGGAGGGGGCGGGGCTTCGTCGTGTGCCCCGCCCCCACACCTCACCCGGGGGAACTGCGATCCCCCGCGTTCCCCCCCGAATCGACCTCTGCTTCAGCTTTTTTTACTAATTTTTGTAGATTCCATAAGGCGCAGGAGGGAGACTGTTCTTCAGTGGCAGAAAATCCTGTTTGTATGCAGGAAATCCCTGGTTCAATCCCTGGCAACTTCTTTAAAGAGATCAAGTACCAGGTGATGTCAAAACCTGTACCTGAGATCTTGGAAGGCACTCAGTAGAAAACAAAGAGTAGAAAATAGACCAATGTTATGTCAGTATGAGGCAGCCTCATGTGTTCGCAGAGTTCATGGTTACAAATTTACTATCTATCCCCTTGCACTAGGTAATAGAATGGGTAGTGCTAAAAAGTTTTAATGCTTACGACATCCCCAACTTCCGATGTCGCGGACGTGCCTGCAAGACTAATCTGCCATCGAATACTGCATTCCGAGGATTCGGTTTCCCACAAACGGCTCTTTCTGCAGAAATGTGGGTTTCCGCTGTGGCAGACAGGCTTGGTTTGCCTCATGATAAGGTAAATAATATGTCACACCGGGGGGGGGGGTGTTCTTGTGTGGCTTAAATGCTTATTCCCACCCCCACAAGTACAGGGGTGATGGGCAGTGTTCCCTCTAAGCTGAGTTAGTGTGAGCTAGCTCACAGTTTTTTAGCCTCTGGCTCACACACTTTTGTCTTCGCTCAGGAAGGATGGCTCCAGAGCAAACTACGGTAATTCATGCAGCAGCCAAATCGCTCACTCACAATTTTAATGCCAGCAGCTCACAAAGTAGAATTTTTGCTCACAAGACTCCACAGCTTAGAGGGAGCATTGGTGATGGGGCATTTCCAGAAGAGAATCCGTGAGAGAGGCTATGCCCACCAATTTCCCCACACAAACGTCCCTGTTCCTGAAAAGATCTTTTCACAGCCAGCCTTCTGCGCAGTTTGGAGGCCTGAATGGAGACTTTAGGATGACTTTGGAAAAGGTCATTTTCAGGGGTCCACTGTGAACAGTAGCAGGCCATGACTCTCTTCCTTGCATCCGTTACCCCCTGAGAAATGCCCTGTCTCCAATTCTCACCTTAGTACTTTAAGGGAAACATGAGACTGAGAACTCCAAATTTCCCTCATAAAGTGTGGCTTTGCTGTTAACATGCCACCTCAAAACAGTCACTGCCTCACGTTCATGACAAATACTGGCCCGTTCCTCATTTTAGCTCCCTTTCCTTATTTTATAGTGAGTTCTAAGTAAGACGTATCTTTCTAAGTAAGAGATAAGTAAAGTAAAATCTTTTAAAGTAAGAGGTACCTTAGAAAAACAAATGTAATTTTCTGTATCAGGAAATAGTTCAAAGACCCCCTCAGACGGTAAAACTAAGAGGCGAAGAACTCAATCCACAGCCATGTGGGGACTCACCAAAGCAGCCCTCTTTTTACCACTAATGAATCGTTGCTCCTCTTCTCGGCACAGTCCAAAGAAAGTTGATTTTAAATGAGATTGAAGCTCAGTGAATTCTGTCTGGATGAGGGCCTTGCAGGGGCAACTGTGGAAATAATTTCCTGGGAGGGGGAGAGCAGAAGTTCATCTGCTATGTTGTTTTGACAGTTAACTTTCTGGGGTTCTTGAAGCTGTAACATTGTTCTTCTCAAATGTGTGTGGAGTCACAGTGTGTTCCTTAGCTGGAGCTTGGGGTGGCAACCCTGCCTCCATCTCTTTCTACAGAAATCGTTCTGTTTAGAAAGATCCATTAGTAGACTTGCCAGTCTCCCCGTGGGGCCTAAAGAATCCCTTGGGATTACAGCCAATCTCCAGACTACAGAAATCAGTTCCCTTGGAGAAAATGGAAGCTTTGGAGGGTGGACTATGGTATTGTGCCCCCAATAAGGTCCCTCCCCAAACCCCTCACTCCTTGGGCTCCACCCCCAAATCTCCAGGAATTTCCCAACCCAGAGTTAGCAGATGTGGAGGGGGAGGTGTTTGTGAATTTCCTGCATTGTGCAGGGGGTTGGACTAGATGAGGTCCCCGGAGGTCCCTTCCAACTCTATGATTCTATTATTCTATGATTCTATGAACTCTATCCATTACCAAGCCCCCTCCCCCAAACCCTGGGTTTATAAATACCTGTTTCAAGTCAGGGGATTGGAACCTATGTTTCAACTTCTTATAGTGTTGAATACTGCCTCCTGAACAAATCCTTTCTTCACCATGAGAAATGTTTTTTCTCACTGGACATGCCAGAAGAAAGTACTGTTCTGGGTGAAAAGTGAGGGAGATTTTCTAAATCTTGCCAGTTTGGACACCCTGTCCTGTTCATTATAATCATCAATACTTTACACTTACCTTCTTTGAAGGTAAAAGAAGGTAAGAGGAAAGTATTGATGATTATAATGAACAGGACAGGGTGTCCAAACTGGCAAGATTTAGAAAATCTGTGGAAAATATATATATGTCTCTGATTATTCCAGGAGCAAAGACATCATTTTTTTTTTTACAACAGGGATCCTGTGCATTTTGGCAACTGCATGACAGTTTTTATTTTCTACATTGAGATTTAGTGATAGGTTGAGAGGCCTTTACTTGTGGCAATTCTGTCTAGCAGTTATGAACTAAAACACTTTGGTAGTACTGTGTGTGCAGTTCTGGAGTCCTCACTTCAAAAAGGATGTGGACAGAATGGAATGGGTGCAGAACAGAGTGACAAGGATGATCAGGGGCCTGGAGACCAAGCGCTATGAGGAATGGCTTGGGAATATTCAGTCTGGAGAAGAGGAGGTTGAGGGGAGACATAAGTGCTCTCTTTATGTATTTGGAAGGCTGTCACTTAGAGGAGGGTGGGGAGGTGTTCCTGTTGACAAGCAGAGGACATAGGACTTGCAATAATGGGTTTAAATTACAGGCAGAAAGGTACTGCTTGGATATTAGGGGGAAATTTTTTAAAAGTAATAGTAGTTCAGTAGTGGAATCAGCTGCCTAGGGTTTCCCACCACCCTCGCTGGCTCGCCGGGGCTCTCCACTGCCGTTGCCGGCTGGGCCTCCCTCCTCTCCGATGTCGTTCGAGCCCTCCCTGTTTGCTGGTAAGTGTGTCGGTGTATAAGCTTCAGCACAATGATCAGAAGCATCTATCTGACAGCTGACAGCTGCACTGAACCGGATTCAGCCAGTTTGGACTTGGCAGAGGCAAGCCAAGTCACCATGAGTCAGCACTGATCTGATTGGCTGACCAATGTATATATGTAGATGCGTATCACTGTATATTCTCTCTCGGATGGTGGATGGTGTCTGGCGGAGCAGTTTGTTGGCAAGCTGTATATATTGTAAATAAATATATTGTAAATAAATTTCCTGTATATAGTAACCACTGGACTGTCTCAGTGTGGTTGACTATTGGAAATCCTCTGGTGAGTGGAAAGACTGCTGGTGAGTGCAAGTGTGACTGAGGTGCTGGTTCAACTTCTCCAAACGCGCTGCGCGACAGAGTGAGGGTCGCGGCTCCTTGTGCAGGTCTCCCATGGCAGCAGAAGGGGGTGGGGAGGTTGTGGGGCCCCTGGGAGTCCTGTCGCTGGGACACTCACAAAGTAGCATTTTTGCTTGTATATAGAGGGAGCATTGCTTCCAACTCTATGACTCTCTGATAGCAGAGTATGATTGGAGGGACCCACAATATGGCAACCTTGCTGAAGCTAAGGAGCTCTGGGTCTGGTCATTGCCTGGGTAGTAGACCCTCTGGGAATCCCATGCACCTGAGCTTCATGATGGCCAAAAGGTGGGATATTAATGTATTAAGTAAGCTGGGGAAAGGAAAGGTAACTAATGGGTAAATATTTTTCAAGGTGGTTTATGAGTACTTGGCTCAAATAACAATATTTTGCCTGTCTCCTTGCGAAGGTCCGGGAGATGAACATGTTCAAAACAGTTACCCTCACTCCCTTCAAAGAAGAGGTCGATGCCAGGAATCTGGTTGTGTGTTGGAAAGAATGCTTGGAGAGGTCTGACTATTACAACCGGAGGAAAGCAATAGAGGAATTTAACAAGCAAAACTACTGGAAGAAGAAAGGGATCGCCATCATTCCCATGTTGTTTTCGGTTGGATACAACAGCACGCACTACCACCAGGTAAACAATCTACAGACACCTCCTCTTCTCAAAAATCAGTGCAGAAGGATCATAGCCCCCAGGATAACCCCCAGTATAGCCCCAATCTGGGTAAGGATCTCTCTCTGTAGTTCCAGCTACTCACAGTCGGGTTAGAACGGATCAAAGGAATTACTTCTGCACCCAAAGAGTGATTAACACATGGGATTCACTGCCACAGGAGGTGGTGGCGGCTACAAGCTTGGACGACTTCAAGAGGGAATTAGATAAGCATATGGAGCAGAGGTCCATCAGTGGCTATTAGCCACAAGGTATAGATAGGAACTCTCTGTCTGGGGAAAGGGATGGTCTGTATTCTTGGTGCTTGGGGGGGGGGCAACAGTGGGAGGGCTTCTAGTGTCCTGGCCCCACTGATGGACCTCCTGATGGCACCTGGTATTTTGGCCACTGTGTGACAGAGTGTTGGATTGGATGGGCCATTGGCCTGATCCAACATTGGCTTCTCTTATGTTCTTATGTACATAAATTCTTTTCTGCTGAAGTTAGGGTTGCCAAATCCCTCCAGGCAATTGGGACGGGATTTTGTTTATTTATTTATTTATTTATTTATTTTTGTATTTATACCCCACCCTTCCCGCAAACGGGTTCAGAGTGGCTTACAAGAGGGGCTTACCGGAAGGCCCAGTGAATGTCCAGTGATGTGTCTATGTCACTCCTGACATGGCCTGGAAGTGATGTCATGACATCAAAACTCTATGGTACAAGCCACATTTATCATAGAGTTTTTGCCCAAATACCAGAGGATTACCTGTGTCTATGTCACTCCTGGCATGGCCTGGAAGTGACGTCATGACATCAAAACTCTATGGTACAAGCCAAATTTATTATAGAGTTTTTGCCCAAACACCAGAGGATTACATCAACCTTGCCGATGTGATGAAGTCACTTCCGGGACACGTCAGTAGTGACGTAGACACAACACTGGACATCCGCTGGGCCACCTTCTTTTTTGAAGTAAGTTTCCCCCCTCCCCCCGCCAGCCAGCTGATTGGCAGCAGGGTGATGGGGTAATCCCATGTCTACCAGGTCTGGTACACCTTGCTGAAGTCCACTATCTCCATTTGAACCCCTCCTTTTGGGACCCTCAAAAATTTTTCGCATCATACTCAATAAGATACACTAGAGCAGGGGTGGCGAACACGTGGCTCTAGAGCCGCATGCGGCTCCCGGCCAAAATTAATGCGGCTCTTTGCCTCTTATCATCATTTTGTATATTGTGGCTCTGTCGCGTTCCTCCTTGGTCTTGGGGGTGGGGCCCCAGTGGCCGTTGTGGCACGACGTGAGTGGGCCCCGTGAGGAGCGGCGTGGCTCTGGAGGCGAGGGTTTGGAAAAGACGGGGTAGAAGAGGACCTCAGAATGGCAGGGGGCGGGGTTGACGTCACCCCGAGCGCCCCTCTGCCGACACTCCCGCACGACCTCTGGCACGCTCCGTCTCTCTTTCAGTAGACGCCCACCGGACACGCGCTCCCTGTCATCCGGTCGCCGTTGAGGCCGCGCCGCCGGCCCTGCTCCCCTGTCGCAGCTTCTGTCACGCGTCTCGGGCCGGGGCTCTCGCCCCCGCGCCCGAGCGCGTCCTGCGGTCGTCTTGTGCAGCCGGGCGTCTTCTGGGGAGGTTCGGCGTTGGGCCGCTGCCTTCCTCTCCCGGTCTTCGGCGCTGGCGACGGCCGGTAGGTCAGGGTGTGGGGAGTTCCTCGGGGCGTCATTGTTAAAAGTATATGCTTTTGTGTGAGTGTTTGTCTGTTTTGGCAGGTCACTGCGTGGTGTGGCTCTCTGACTCTCACAGTTTAAAATTTTGGCTCTTTTTGTCGAACTTGTTCGCCACCCCTGCACTAGAGGACTCTCTTACCCTGCTGTTCTACTGGCAACGCTAACTGGCTGCACACTTCCAGGGTTTTAAGACGAGTCCTTTCTCAGCCTTGAAATGCTTTTCGACTAGATACCAGAACCAGGACCCTGCATCTTTAAAATGTGGGGTCTACCACTGGGGTCCTTCCCTGTTACTAACCTGCCAGTTGTTCTGGCCTCTTCGAACAAGGTGTACTCTTGCTCGCAGTAAGTTTTTGTACATCGAATTGTTAAGCACCGGTGTGATGTTAATAGGATAGTTAGTAACGAATGGTCCGTCATTTATCCATTTCTCCATAGGCTGCAGCTCTGGTGAACATCTATGTAGATGGGTCAGTGTTGGTGCTTTGTGGTGGATGTGAGCTGGGACAAGGGCTTTTCACCAAGGTGCTACAGGTAGGATGAACAGGCGGCTGCCATGTACATTACAAAAGAGAGCTACGGAGTGAAAGCTGTTTTGCCAGTGCCATTTGGGCATATATTCTAGTTCGGTTTTATGTAAAAGTAACTGGATACGTGTTATGTATTGGGATTGGAACATTCCAGGACTGTTTGTATCAGAGACTGGCTGAGCTTGGAGCTCTAGAACAATATCCCACCAGGACTCTGGAGGTGGCCAATGGGGAATTAATGGCTCTGACCATGGCCTATCGTTAGTAGTTGTTTGGGAAGTGGGTGGAGCTGCATGCTATTTAAACAGGGCCGTTGCCCTGGGTCTTTGTCTTGTTCTTGCTGAATCACTAATAAAGCAGAGCTGATCACTAGGCTTGGGGTCTGACCATCCATGGAACCCAGTATTTAACAATACGTTCCAGGGTCTTTCTGTACGTGTGTGTGTGTGTGTGTGTGTGTGTGTGTGTGTGTGTGAGAGAGAGAGAGAGAGAGAGAGAGAGAGAGAGCGCACAGATTTTTCTAACACGTTTGTTCCTTCATTTCCTTGACTTTATTGCAAATGTTGTGTTTCTTCTCAGTTTGAGACTGTGCTGTAATTCCTAACAGAACTGACGATCTCTTTTGTTCTCAAAACGATAAGGTTGCCGGCCACGAATTAATGATACCCCTATCTTATGTACATATTTTTGAAAGAAGTACCGTTCCAATACCCAATGCCATTGTCACAGCGGGATCCATTGCCTCCGAGGTCAACTGTAAAGCTGTCCAGGTTGGAATTCTTATTTTGGGTGGTTACTATTTCTTGTAAATAACGTCTCTGGGTAGGGCTGCCAGCCTCTGGGTGGGGCCTGGAGATCTCCCACGACGACAACTGATCTCCAGACAACAGAGATCAGTTCCCCTGGAGAAAATGGCTGCTTTGGAGGGTGGGCTCTGTGGCATTATGGCCCAAACCCCCCCCTCCTGCAGCTCCATTTCCAAAATCCCCAAGTATTTCCCACCCCAAAGACGGCAGCTCTGAGCCTTTGTATTACCTACTGCACAGTAGAATCAGGGTATTTCTGATGTTTTTTTGCAGCATTTGCAGACCCCTGCCTCATAGAAGTTAGTCATCATTAAGCTCTGTGGATTTCAATGGAATGTAGTCCGCTGGGCTGTGATCCCGTGAGCATTTTGGCCCAACATAGCCACCCCTCCCCTCTGGATTAAATGGGCGCAGACACACAGCCACATCTGTCAGATGTTCCCCAGGCATACTCACCCTGTTGTAGGACGACTTGGAGCCAGGTTAAGTGGTGTTTTTTGGTTCCCCGCACATTCGCTGTGTGTGACCAGATGTCTGAACATGGGGGAGCGTGCCCAAAACAGATTGGCACTCTGACGTTGCAGATCCGTTTCTGCCACTGGGGTGCTGTTGGGTTTTTTACTTTTTGCCTATATGCGCATGCGCACACATGTACATGAGTGCATGCGCACACATGAGCACATATGCACTCACTTGCATTTTTAAAAACCCACACAGTGCGCTCTGTGGCTGAGGCACTGCGGTATTGTGGATGCTTCACCAGGGGACGGCTACGTGGGTAACCCGCAGCAGGATGTGCTGTCTGGATGATGTGCCCCAGAGCATTTCACACCAGTACAATTAGAGGCGGCGCCATATCACGCCAAGCCACCAGTGTGATCACACCCTTAGTCTCATAGTAAATCCCACAGAGTAAATGGGCATGTTATATGTCCCATTGCTTTCTATGGTCTTTTTTTTTTTTTACAATATTTTATTGAAATTTTTCAAAAAGAACTTGAACATATAAGCTTTCTGTGGTCTTAAGCATTACTAATTTGCTTTGGATTGGAGTCTCTTCCTCTAGCTACTAAAAAGTTTGAGATTAAAAAATTATTATTTCAGTATATTTGCTCCTAGTGCCGCTTAGGGCCTATCCAGACATTTTAAAAACACATAGCTATCTTCTTAGCTATCTTCCTTTAAGATGGGCCGATTGGTGATAAAGCAATTGCGCTATTGTGAATGTCCACTGTTCGATACTTCTGAGGTTTGAAAGGTAGCTGTTGTATAGACAGCTTCAAGAGGGGATTGGACAAATAGTTGGAGCAGAGGTCCGTGAGAGGATATTAGCCACAAGGAAAAATGGAACCACTATGTCTGGGGCAGTGAGGCTCAGTATTCTTGGTGCTTGGGGGGCAACAGTGGGAGGGGTTCTGGAGTTCTGGCCCTGCTGGTGGACCTCCTGATGGCACCTGGTATTTTTGGCCACTGTGTGACAGAGTGTTGGACTGGATGGGTCACTGGCCTGATCCAACATTGCTTTTCTTATGCTCTTGTGTCTGGGGCAGTGATACTCTGTATTCTTGGTGGTTGGGGGACAACAGTGGGAGGGGTTCTGGCATTCTGGCCCAGCTGGTGGACCTCCTGATGGCCCCTGGGTTTTGGTCACTGTGTGACACAGAGTGTTGGACTGGATGGGCCATTGGGCTGATCCAATCTGGTTTCCCTTATGTTCTTATGTCATGTCCTTTAATTTTTATTATATTATGACTCATTATATTATGACTCAATTTATGAGCATTTATATCCTACTCATCCTAAAACTCCAGGGTGAGTTACAATAGAATTAAACTCTAGAAGTATCCAAGCACTATGTAAAAATGAAACAGCAGCCTCCAGTTTCCAAATACAGTGAAAAAGTATAGCAGCAACATCATTAAAGTGCATTGAGTAATAACTTATTTTCAGAGACAAGCAGATTCATAATTTCAGTTTAACCACAAATTAAATAAATTAGTGGAGCAGCAACCAGAACTGGTGGGTCAATCCTTCTGCTTCTACGCCCATGCGGCAGGCCTAGTCCTCCTCTTTTAAAATGGTTAAAAAAACTATTTAAAAATATAAAGGAATTTTAAGAGCGCTAGGAGGACTTCCGGCGGTGCGGCGCTGCGTTCGGACGCGTTTCTCGGAGCTCCCGAGAACGCCCGTCTCCCGCACGCTTTTTCGGAGCCCCCCGAGGTTCGGGGGAGCTCTGCTCGTCTCTCCTGGGGGGAGAGCGGGTGCAGGAGGCTTGGCCGGCCCCCCCGTTCCCATGGCAAGGGCGGGGGCGAGACCGGCTTGCCTCGAAGCAGGAGCGTCGGGCAGCAGGAAACATGGCTGCCGTGTTTTCCTAGTAGCAGCAGCCAGCCGTGCTTTTAAACCTTCTACGTTATCGGTGGTGTTGGGTGTAACACAATGGTGAGTCAGTTATCTATCCTTTTCCTCTGGAGTTTATACGCTACAACCTGGATGAAATAAAAATACCCCTTTTGATGATTTCCCCGCACTGGTAAAGAGAAGCGGCCGGGGAATGCGTTGGGGACCGAGTTTAAGACATTTGCTGGGGCAAGAGATAATTTCTGCTGGACATAATACCACTATAAATGAAGTACGGAGAGGGTCTCTGTTCATTGGAGTTGAATAAGAGAAATAAAATGCTGTAAGGAGCCAGAACAAAATGGAGGCGGACATTTCTAAAAGGATAAAGGAGGCAATATTGAATGAAACTAAGTCTGAACGTTTCCAAGAATCCCTGCAAAAAGAACTAAATAAGGCACTTAATTCTGCATGGGAGAACTTTTTTGCAAATGCTCAGGATACATTAAACAAAAAGGACAATAATGTGGAGCAAAGAACAGGGCTACAGGACAGAATGGAACCGCAGCGAGCAGAACAGGAAGAGAGAGAGCAGCAGGTAATTATTTACCTACCCAAGGATGAAATAGGAAGAGAAGAGGACATAACAGGAGGAGAAAGTAAACTTGCTAGGCTATCTCTCCTGTGCAGAGACAAGAAGAAGAAAAGAAAGAGAAAGGAAAAAAAAAAGGCCCAAAGAAAGTTAAGGACACTAGCAGTAAACAACCAGATTGGTACACAAGACAACAGCGACAGGACAGAGATAAAGAGCATAAAGATTGGCGGCATATGAGTGAGACCAAGAAAAACCAAATCAGGAAAGAACTAAAATATAATGAATTGATACTGTATAATAATGATTTGTTGACCATGCTATAACTATATAGGGTTATTCTGAATACTAAGACCAGACAACTCTGTCTGGAGTAGATATGCCTACCTGTGTTGGGGGAAAACAATGAATCCTATATGAGTAGTTGTCAAAATAGAAAATATGTATGGGAGCAAATTTCGATTATGAACTTGAAGTTATGGACTGATTGATGGATGATTAATTTAGGAACCAATGTGTGGTAAGAAAGAAATTAATATAATATCAGAATGAAGGCCACACATGAATTATTGGCTGGTGATTGAACTGTTAAATGCTGAATGCTAAATTGTAAGTGTAAAATATAATAAAACCAAAGGCCCTAAATGACAATAAGAGTATATGACCACTTAACATGTGACTCTTAAATTTAGAAAGGCCAGGCACAGCATGGGCTGACTATAATAAACTTATTAATGTGGGTTTTTGTGTATAAATTGCTTCCAGTAAACACTTTCTAATACTTTTCTAAATTAATGGTAGGAGGGTGAGAATAATTAATTGAAATCTTTGTTAGTGATAGGAATGTCTGGCAGAATGAATTGAGTAACCCAGGTTGAAAGAAAAAGATATAGAGGTAATTTTAGCAAGGGGAAATATCATTTGATGCATTTAAGAACCGCATTTGAGTACGGAAATAATGTAGACACTGTGTAAATTACCAATCAACTTGTGTAACATGGAAAGATATGAGACGATAGGAGGGATGCTGGTAGGTGGAGGGTATTTTTGTGCATATATGTGATATGTCTGTTTGTGTTTTATTAATGTTGAAAACTCAATAAAAATTATTAAAATATATATATATAAAGGAATTTTTGCAAAATTTTAATTGGAATGCGTATTGAGAAGAGAACTACACATTGTCACATGAATGATGTCACAGGTACTAGCCAATAGGTGTCTATAATAGCTGTCCAGAAACTGCAGTCTTAAATACCACTGCTAAAAAAATAAAACCCGGGGGGGGGGGGGATCATTGGAGTTTTTCCCCTTATGAATTCAGTTTGACTATTTCAGAACTGTACCCTACTTATTTAGAAGTCAGTCTCGTCTAAACCAGTGGAAATAGATCCTGAGCTGTTAGACTGTAGACTTCCAACTGCATGGTCCACAATAGTCTTCTTTGAGGTCCCATTGAAATTTAAGAAACTGTTCTGGGATAGAGTGGTTTCTGGTTTTCCATAATGGCAGAAAACAGCACTACTAGGATCCTCTGTGCCTTTCACACTATTCCATTGGCAGAAATTCAACAGGTAAAGTGCAGCTCCCATCTATGTATCATAAATATCAGCTAAAGTATCTCTCCAGGCTCATGGTCCTATTTGGGTCAGAGGAAAGAATTCATTCAGTGGCCTGAGCTGTTCTTTTCCTCATTTAAAGGGAAAAAAAGCTTGCATTACTTTCTGCCTTATTACATTTTACTTTTGCAAAGTTATTCAGATAATGTTAGAAAATGAAAATCAGGCCTTATTGTTGTGATGTATTCATCCTGTTTTTCCACGCCACTTGTTCCAACAGAACGCTTGCCGGATTCTCCGGAAGCGCCTGGAGCCAGTCATTAAAGAAAACCCAGAAGGCAAATGGGAAGACTGGGTAAGCACCTTCCATTTCTTGATGGCAGGAGATTGGTGCTGTGGTAGGGAATTCCTTGCTGAGCCCAGGCAATGGCAAACCACCTCTGCTTAATCGCTTGCCTTGAAAACCCTATGGGGTCGCCATAACTCGGCTGTTCTAGTTTGTGTATTTGCAGGGCTCTTTTTGAAGAAAAAGTCCAGCAGGAACGCATTAGCATAATAGGCCACACCCAGCACCAGGAACTCATTAGCATATTGGGCTGCACCCCTGACAGCACAGCTCATTAGCACATTAGGCCACACCCCCATGTTACCAGAAGTGTGGTTATCCAGCCACACCCACCTTTTGCTTGTTATTCTGTTTACCTTGTTTGTTGTCAAAACCCTGGGCTTTTTTGTAGCAGGAACTCCTTTGCATGTTAGGCCACACACCCCTAATGTAGCCAATCCTAATGAGTTTCTGCTGTTGGGTGTGGCCTATTATGCTAATGAGATCCTGCTGGGCGTGGCCAACTTGGGAGCCAGCCGGAACTCCGTTCCTGTGTGTTCCTGCCCCAAAATAGCCCTGTTATTTGTATGTCATTTAACGGTCCTTCTCTTTCAGACTAAAAAAGCTTTTGAGGAAAGCATCAGCCTCTCAGCTACTGGCTACTTCAAGTAAGGAATCCTTTATTACTTTCTAAATTGCTGCCTTTGGAGATCATAGATGCCTTTTGTTCAATTTTAACCTTTCTTCATATGGAAAGTGTTCCAACCCTTTTATCATTCTAGTTGCCCTTTTCTGCACTTTTTCCAATGCTAAAATAACATTTTTGAGGTGTGGTGACCAGAACTGTACACAGTACTCCAGATGAGGTCGCACCATTGATTTATACAGGGGCATTATGATACTGGCTGATTTGTTTTCAGTTCCCTTCCTAATAATCCCCAGCATAGCGTTGACCTTTTTTATTGCAGTCACACACTGTCTTGACATTTTCAGAGAGTTATCTACTACGACTCCAAGATCTCTCTCTTGGTCAGTCTCTGCCAGTTCGGACGCCATCAACATGTATTTATAGTTAGGATCTTTGTCTCCAATGTGCATCACTTTGCACTTGACCACATTGAACCCCATTTGCCACCAATGTTCCCTCTAAGCTGTGGAGTCTTGTGAGCAAAAATTCTACTTTGTGAGCTACTGGCTTTAAAGTTGTGAGCGAGCGATTTGGCTACTGCATACAGTAGTTTGCTCTGGAGCCGTTCTTCCTGAGCTAAGAGAAAAATGTGTGAGCTGGAGGCTAAAAAACTGGGAGCTAGCTCACACTAACTCAGCTTAGAGGCAATACTGTTTGCCACGTTGACACCCACTCGCCCATCCTCGACAGATCCCTTTGGAGTGCCTCACAATCCTCCCTGGTACTCATCACCCTGAATAATTTTGTGTCATCTGCAAATTTAGCCACTTCACTGCTTATTCACAATTCCAAATAATTAATGAACAAGTTAAAAAGGATCGGACCAAGTACTGATCAAGAGGGGACTGGATAAACATATGGAACAGAGGTCCATCAGTAGCTATTAGCCACAAGGTACAGAGGGAAAACTCTGGGGCGGTGATGCTCTGTATTCTTGGTGCTTGGGGGGGGGGCAACAGTGGGAGGGCTTCTGTTCTGGCCCCGCTGGTGGACCTTCTGATGGCACCTGGGTTTTGGCCACTGTATGACACAGAGTGTTGGATTGGATGGGCCATTGGCCTGATCCAAGATGGCTTCTCAGTTTGGTGCTGAGAGCCAGTTTGGTGTAGTGGTTAAGTGAGCGGACTCTAATCTGGGAGAACCGGGTTTGATTCCCCACTCCTCCACTTGCACCGGGCTGGATGACCTTGGGCAAGCCATAGTTCTGATAAGAGCTGTTCTTGAAAAAGAGCAGTTTCTGTCAAGAGCTCTCTCAGCCCCACCTACCTCACAGAGTGTCTGTTGTGGGGAGGGGAAGGGAAAGGAGTTTGTAAGCCGCTCTGAGACACCTTTGGGTAGTGAAGGGCGAGGTATAAATCCAATCTCTCCTTCTTATGTTCTTATGTGGTGAAAAGTTCATAGCCAGGTCTAAAGAGGCAGAGTCTATAAGTCCACTGGAGAAGTTCAGTAGTGGATGTTAGAAGAAGCAATGTTCACCAGGTATTAAGAGGCCTATATGCCTGCTCCAGTAGATAAAGTAGATCACGTGTTTCTCCAGCAATAGTCAGGGTTCATCTGAACCCTTCAATGGGGACCAACAAGCCACCATGATAAATGTGCAGAAACCCAACTGGTTTCTTTTCTGTTCCCCAGCCTATGCTTAGCATAGAACACACCAATAATTTGGTATTTTCACAGGAAGTCTAGCTGAGAGATTTTTTTAATGAAAGTGAACTCCTAGTATCTGAAGAGTTTGATTTGTTTCTCCCATCAGAGGATACTTCACCAATATGGACTGGGAGACTGGAAAAGGCCACGCTTTCCCATACTTCGTTTTTGGTGTTGGTTGCTCCGAAGTTGAGATTGACTGCCTGACAGGGGACCATAAGGTAAACAATTGACATTTTCTAGCACTGCCAGTGTCTGGCTGATTCAGCGGCTCCCTGCACACTGTTTGGATATGAACTAATTTCTTTGTCTGTTGACCATTTCTGTCATCACCCACTGTGACACTGTATGGATGAGTTTTCAGAGAGATTACAGGGGTCCATGCAAAGTGGGACCCAGCAGTAGCTATTAGCCTGGAGAGTCAATTTAAGGCATACCTGGGCATAAGATGTTCACAGAGTCTTGTCTACAGCAGGGGTGTCAAACTTAAGGCCCGCAGGCCGGAAGCAGCCCGCCCATGGCTTTAATCAGGCCCGCGGCTCTTTTCTTCCCCCCTCATCCTTCTCCTGTCCTCTGAAGCTGGAGGCTGCCAAAGTTCCCAGCTCCCTTCGTCTTGTCTTTCCTTCTTCGGCAGGAAGCTCTTCTGGGTTTGCAAAGTTAAAAGTTAGAGGGAACCCTAGCATCAAAATCTGTTTTAATAGGGCTGTAACTTAATATTTTGTATTGTTTTACTGTTTTATCTGGCATTATGCCCTGTAAGCCGCCCTGAGCCTCCGGGGAGGGCGGGATAGAAATGTGAATAATAAATAAATAAATAAATAAAAAGAAAATACGGGATGGATTTTTCCATTAAGGCCTCTGCACCCAGATAAGACTACTCTGGGATTGTTTCCAGCAATAGAAACAGTGCTCTGGGACTGGAATGACAGCCCCCAGAGCAGAATGATGGTCCCTAGCAATAGAATCCATGCTCTGGGATTGGAATGACAGGGCCCAGAGAGGAATGACAGCCCCGGGGAGTAGCAGCAGTATTCTGGGAATGGAATTCCACTCTGGGAGCCCTAATTTCAATCCCAGAACACTTCTGCTACTCCCAAAGACTGTCATTTCACTCTGGGGGCTGTCATTCCAGTCCCAGAGTAGTCTGTCTGGGCCCAGGGACCTTAATGGGAAATCCATTCCACATTTGCTTTGCAGCTTTGTCTGTGCTGCAATGTATTTCAGTGGAGTGGATCTCAAAAAGTTTCACTTTCCAGTGTTTGTATAGCTGCAGCTGTTGCTTGCTGGAGTTGTCTCCTTGCAAAAACAGGGTTGATGTTTTGAGCCAGGTTGTCTCTGCTGAATGGACCTGAGAAAATGGGTGCCTGAGTGAGTACTCTAACCTGGGAACCCAAAGGGGGACATTACACTGGAGAGCCACTGCCACTCTGAGTAGACCGGGGGGGCGGGGGGAGGAGAAGCTTGCACTGGCCAGCCATTGTAACAAATGAGTCTGATACCCCTGATCTATAGGTTTAGAGCATTTTGCGTGCCACTTCAGCATGGTTTCTGACAAAGGGAACATTGACTCTCAAAAACTTATACCCCCCAAACAGAGAGGCCAGCCTCCAGGTGGGACCTGGGGAACCCCTGGAATTAGGGTTGCCAAGTCCATCTTCCACCCCCAGCGGGGGACTTTGGGGGCGTTCCTGGAGGGGGTGGGGCATCCCCAACGTGATGTCACGTTGGGGACGTCTGCCACCACCACCACCCCGCCCGTGCGCTGGATCTCCAGAAACGGCAGTTCCCTGCATTTAAAGTAGCCGGCAGCCGGCGTTTCCCCCTTAAGAGAAGCTGCGTTTCCCTTTTAAGAATGAAGCTGGCTTCTCCCTGCAAGCTTGTGGAGTTTGCGCTTGGGATGAAACACGGGTTGCGCACACTGAAAGGGAGAGAGATGGGTGGCTGTGGGTGTTGGGGGTGGGGCTTCCCCCGCCGGCCATCTGGCCGGCAGCGGGTAAACCCCCCCCAAAAAACGGGGTACCCCTGGCAAACCGGGGGGTTTGGCAACCCTACCTGGAATTACAGCTCATCTCCAGATCAGTTCCCCTGGAGAAAAGGGCTGCTATGGGGGGTGGACTCCATGGCACTGGAGACCCCACTGAGGTCCCTGTCCTCCCCAGGCTCCATCCTAGGGTTCCCAAACCCCCCCGGTTTGCCAGGGGTCCCCCGTTTTGGGGGGGGTTCTACCCGCCACCAGCCAGATGGCCGGCGGGGGAAGCCCCACCCCCAACACCCACAGCCACCCATCTCTCTCCCTTTAAGTGTGTGCAAGCCGTGTTTCATCCCAAGCGCGTTGGCTGCCCTATAGTATGGCCTGTCCTTGGGACTTGCTTGGGAAAAGGAATCATCCAGTTTTAGCCCCAGACTCTCTCAGACACCGTAGATCCTGGAGCTTCCAAATGCAAAAAAAATAAAATTATAGAGATCATCGTCTATAATACTGCTGTAGCTGTGTTTCTTATGGGTTTGGATGATTGTTGTCTTCATACTTTTAATTTTCAAAATGTGCTGTTCATCTTACTTCTCTAACAGAATCTCCAAACAGACATTGTTATGGATGCCTGTTACAGCATCAATCCGGGAATCGACATAGGACAGGTATGCACCAGGAGTTTCGCATGTTGTACTGCAGGCAAATGTTTGTGGAGTGATCCTTTATTGGTTTAAATGTTTTAGCCCACTTTTCTCACATTCTGAGGACTCAAAGCATCCTTGTCTCATGGGCTTTCTGATCAAAAACAGTCTCCTTAGAAGGTTTTTGGTTCTTAGACCGATAACCCACGTGCCTCAAATGACTGCCACCAGCGCTGTGTTTGACTCATGTTCGATGGATGGGAGGAAGGCATGCTGCCACTGTTCAAAGGGGGATCATCCTGGTCTTTCAGGTAGGGATGCCAGACCCCCCCCCCTGATGCAGCCGGGGTTCCCCCAGTTTCGGTTGCTCCTCTCCCCCCATTATCCCCCCCCAAACAGGAAAGAAACTGGAAATAAACACAACATGCCTATGTCACCCAGAAGTGATGTAGGCATTTTGGTGACATTCATTTTATTTATTTATTATTTGATTTCTAGCCCTCCCTACCCTGCACATCAGGCTCAGGGCGGGTTACAACAGACAATAAAACAATAAGATAGATACAGTTTGTTTATATATCTCTATCTATCTGTCAATCCATCTGTCAATCTATCTGTTTATCTATCTATCTAATTTTCTGGAATACACACACACACACACACACAAAACAAATGGCAATAACAAAACAGAACAAAACAAAACCATAAGATAACCTCATATCCAATATAAAAGATGATTGTTGTTGTTCAGTTGCACAGTTGAGTCCGACTCTTCGCGACTGTTTATGGTGATGTTCCAACCAGAAAAAAAGAAAATATATAAACCAGCAGGGGTCATTTCGTAGAAAAAGAGCTGCAGGAGCTCATTAGTATATCTAATAAACCATTAGCATAATAGCTCATTAGCATATACCACACCCTCTCACATCACCGGAAGTGATGTCAGAAGGGGAAGAAAAAAAGGGGGAAGGCATCTTCAAAAGCCTCCCCTTCCCTTCCCCAAGTGGGCTGGGGGGGGGAAGCGAAGAGAGAAGGGCTTTAAAGCTTAAACCCCTTCTCTCTAGAGTCGCTCCACAGTGATGGTGCGATCTTTCCATTATATTCTATGGAGCCATAGAATACAATGGAAAGAGAAGGGGTTTAAAGTTTAAACCCCTTCTCTCTTCGCTCCCCCCTGCCTGCCTGGGGAAGGGAAGGGGAGGCTGTTGAAGATGCCTCCCCTCCCTTTTTTGCTTCCCCAGCCGACCTGCCAAGGCGGGGTGGGGGTGGGGGAGCAAAGAAAGAAGGGGTTTAAGTTTTATCCCCTTCTCTCTTTGCTTCCCCCCTAGCCCGCCTTGGGGGCGGGCCAGGGAAGGCCAGGGGGTCTCAAATGCCTCCCCACTGCTTGGAAGGCTTTCCCCAGTTGGCCCACTTAGGCAAGTGGGCCAGGGAAGGCCGGGGGGGGCTCAGCAGGCCTTCCCCCACCCACCCACTTTGGTGAGCGATTGGGAAAAGGCACGGGGAGGCATTTGAATGCCTCCCCACTGCTTGGAAGGCTTTCCCCAGTTGGCCCACTTAGGCAAGTGGGCCAGGGAAGGTCAGGGGGCGAGGCTTGCTAGGCTCCTCACTGCTGGAGTGCCGCTCTGGTGCACTCCGGCAGGAAATGATCCCTGTAAACCAGTAAGAGACAAAGAATGAATAAATAAAAAAGAAAAAGAAAAGGGGAGGTGGGGGGGTGCTTCCATTGATATATATATATATATATATATGTCCTAGTAAGGGAAGAATATAGGAGAAGAAGAGGAGGAGGAGGAGATTGGATTTATACCCCACCCTTCACTACCTGAAGGAGTCTCAGAGTGGCTTACAATCTCCTTTCCCTTCCCCTCCCCACAACTGACACGGGGCTGAGAGAGCTCTTTCGAGGACTGCCTTTGAGAGAAGAACTCTGAGAGAACTTCTAACTCACCCAAGGTCACACCAGCAGCTGCATGTGGAGGAGTGGTTCTCCCAGATTAGAGTCCATGCTCCTAACCACTACACCAAATAGACTTACAGTTGGCTACAAAGCTAGCTTTAGCACATGGCAAGGGGAGGGAAAAGATTAGTTTAGATTATGAGTACAAAACCTTCATTCTCTAGCAGATTTAATACCTCTAGCCTTGCCACCTCCAGGTTGGGAAATTCATGCAAATTTGGGGGGTGGAGCCAGGGGAGGGCGGGGTTTGGGGAGGGGAGGGACCTCAGCAGGGTATAATCTCACAGAATGTACCTTCCAAAGCAGCCATTTTCTCCTGGGGAACTGACCTCTGTAGTCTGGAGATCAATTGTAGTCTCGGGGGGGGGGGGGGGGTAAACAACAGCAGAAACTCATTAGCATATTAGGACACACCCCTGACAGCACAGCTCATTAGCACATTAGGCCGCACCCCCATGTTACCATAAGTGTGGTCATCCAGCCACACCCACCTTTTACTCCTTATTCTGTTTACCTTGTTTGTTGTCAAAACCCAGGGCCCTTTTTTGTAGCAGGAACTCCTTTGCATGTTAGGCCACACACCTCTAATGTAGCCAATCCAAATGAGTTTCTGCTGTTGGGTGTGGCCTATTATGCTAATGAGTTCCTGCTGGGCGTGGCCAACTCAGGAGCCAGCCGGAACTCCGTTCCTGTGTGTTCCTGCCCAAAAATAGCCCTGGTAGTCTCCCTGTCCTATGGCTGGCACCCTAAATGCGTCAGATATCTATCCTGAAACGATGTACGTTTACTCCCTCAGATTGAAGGTGGCTTTATACAGGGACTTGGACTTTTCACTCAAGAGGAAATAAAATTCTCCCCGGAAGGAGCACAGTATACACGGGGTCCGGACACGTACAAAATCCCTGCTGTCTGTGATGTCCCGGAATTGTTTAGAATCTACTTGCTACCAGACACAAGGAACCCCATTGCAATCTACTCCTCCAAGGTAAATATATTAGCTATGCCAATAATCTAGTAATTAAAGAGAGTTCTGCATTGCTCAGCGGCTGTTTAATTCAATTTGCAAAAGACATTCACTGCATTCATGTCAAAGATAAACGGTTCCCTGTCTACAGTGTGGGAAAGACTTACCAGTTTCCTTTAATGTTTTCATACTCCAGTAACATCTAAAGTTACTCCTAAATGTAGGCAGTAATGCCTACAAAATGTAACTATTGGACTATTTGGTTAATAGAGCAGAGTTTTGCCCCATCATAGAAGCATGATACCGAGTGCAGTAAATAAATATCCCAAGAAGTATATTGTAAAAAAGGTAAACTTACATTTATTCAAGTAAATCCAGTTCAAATTCAAATTGAGAGCCAGTTTGGTGTAGTGGTTAAGTGCGCGGACTCCAATCTGGGAGAACCAGGTTTGATTCCCCACTCCTCCACTTGCACCCGGCTGGATGACCTTGGGCAAGCCACAGTTCTGATATGAGCTGTTCTTGAAAAAAGAGCAGTTTCTGTCAGAGCTCTCTCAGGCCCACCTCCCTCACAGGGTGTCTGTTGTGGGGAGGGGAAGGGAAAGGAGTTTGTAAGCTGCTCTGAGACACCTTTGGGTAGTGAAGGGCGGGGTATAAATCCAATCTTCTTCTTCTTCCCTTCAAATTCAGGTTGCCGTCGAAAGGAAAGAGAGAAGTCTAATCTAAAGAGTACTTTCCCTGTCACAAATGGCCTGCTTATCTGGTGTGATGTGTGTGGGAGGAGGAGGGCACTGTGAACCACACCCAAACACACACCCACACCCGTGATAGGATTATTTACAGTGCACATGCATTCTATAGGTCCGCTAGGATCCTGACTGCCCAATTGGGTGTGTTCTAGGATCCATGCTGGCTGTATTCTTGGAGAGCGAGGCTTAAGCCGTTCACATGGCTGTGTGAGGACCCGACCGCGTGTGCGGCCTGTGTAAGAACACAACACCATGTGAAGAGAGTGTGAGAGGACAAAAAGAGAGAGGAGGGGTCAGAGGGCAACTCCCAGGTTAAGACAAAGAGAGGCATCCCATTCAAGGAGATAACACCTGTGCACCCTTAGGGTGATGTAGAGCCCCCCCCCCCAGTGATCTTAGGCAGAGATGTGATGGGAGCAAAAGCAAGGATTCAAATAAATTCAGAAGAAAGCGATGTGCCTCCAAGTGAATACATAGGCCCCGCAAAACAGCCCCTTGAGACCTTGACAAATGATACAGTTGCTATTTGCCAGGAGTCAGAGGGAGAACAGGCCTCCCAGATACCTGTCTGTGGGGAAGAAAAGCTCTCACTCTCGGAAGCCGAGAGGAATAAAGACTCTGAAGAGTTTGAGAGAGGTTAAAACAAAATACTTTAAAGAACTCCAGCAAGAAAATAAGGCTTTGAGAAAGCAAATCGCAATAGAGAGCAAGCAGTGTAGTAGTACTGAAGACAAAGTGAATACATTCCAGCTGGAATTGGAAAAATTAAATAAACAACTTAAAGAAAAAGATGCAGTACTAGAACGCTTTAACATAAAGGAACAGCAGCTAACATCAGTCATTAGAACGTTGGAAAAGGAACTTGCTTGGAAGACAAACCAACTTTTCTCCATCCAAGAGCAGCTTAAAAGTGACATAGAAAAGAAAGAATCCGTGGCTAAAGAAACAAACAAGGATAATGTGATAGCTGAGATGAATTCAACCCCGCAGTGCACCATCACAGGGAAGAAAATTGACCCAGCTGAGCTGTTTCCAGGCATCCCCCCGATGACCCGGCCTGTCTGTTTTTGGACATAACCGAGAGGACGATGACCTCAGCCCCAGAGATAGGCATCCCCGAGATGACCGCAGCCCCGCAAATGGACAGCCCAGAGATGACATCAATTTAAAAGAGGACATCACCTAGCGGTGAACAACAGCCCAGCAGAGTGGGACTGTAAGTTAAGGAACCCACAAACTTTGAGAGCAACCAAGAAGAATGAACTGAACTGAACTGGCAATATAAAGACTATCCAAACTTTATGAAGACGGAAGAAGCTACACCCATCCCTTGGGACAAAGAGATGTGTTCCGCTTAAAGGAGAAGGGAGGGGAAATGTAACGATTCCAGGTTTTATTGTGTGTGCGTCTTTAAAAGTGGTTTGTATGGATGTATGGCAGACTAGGATGCTGAACTCAGGGAAGTGAGATGATTGGTGAGTGACAGAGAGGGGGAGGGGTTTTGGAATGAATGCTGTGTGGATGAACGGATATGTCAGTCAAGAGTTACAGTTAAGGATGACAGTTAGAGAGTTCTGAGTTACAGAGTGGAGATACAGTTAGAC